GTCGTTCACCTAATGACAATGGCAATTAGCATTGATTATTAATTTGAGCGTAATAGCCGGTGTATCGAGCCGGAATTGGCCAAGCTGCTTATTTTTGCGAAACGGACGATGGTTATCGTCTGCTCTAGTTCGCTTCCCTAACGCAAATCCAAATTCGTTCTCGTTACGACCAGCGACGTGGAAATATTCGTTTTGTTATCGGTAGAGCGACGGACGGAGAGGGATGAGAAGGGGGTGAAACGCACCCTTGTCAAGTTTGAGATATTTCAAATTCAAAAAAGCGCAACCCCTGGCAACTGAGTTTGAACCAATCTGGAATTTCAGCGTCTCGTATGTTTCTAATAAAATCGATGGGTGTGAATGCAATTTGATAATAAACATTATTGATCACTGAAATTAATGAAATTAATTATTATAGCCGCACGAACATACGGTATTGCATATACACACATTCATAGTAGTATATACTTTCCACCATACACTATGAATCCTTCCTATCATATTTTGTTTTATCTGTTCTTTAGTCTGAATTAAACACACTCTTAACACTAAACGTACCAAGCGGGGTCAAATGACCGCTTTTCAAGATTTACTTTAAAATCGTACATTCGTTGTTATTTCTTTCGCTAATCTGACTTTTTGTAAATTCTTATATTACCTGATTGTTCGATTTCTCGTTTTCTGTTTTTCTCTTAGCTTCATTTTTTTTACCAAGAAAAATTCTCTGCATACCTTATGTACCGCGAGGGATCACCGAGAAAAATTCTTTGCGTACCTTGTGTACCGCGAGGGGTCATTTGACCCCTTATAGTAAGGTAGGTATATATAAAATGCCGATACGTTTAGTGTTAAAGATCCAAACGGTGCGTCCTATCACTTGTTTATCTCTTTCGTTCATCACACAATTCTGTTGCTTTCACAATAAATACACATCTGTAATAATTGTCAATACACATATATACGTGCATTTTCACAGTTTAACAAAACTTAACATTGAATTTTATTCGAACCTTTCAATTTTACTAAAAACTACTTTGTTCAGACACAAATTTACTTATTCATGAAAAAGTTGAAGTTTTCGACAAGCAGAAAATTTGCTTCCGTGTACATATCACTGAATTAAATTTATACTTGTCACCATTGTACGCGTTACGATGTAGTACAAAAAACGATCAACTATTTAAAAAAATCACACGTGGAACGGTGAATTATCTTAAAGTCGGAACTTCGTTTCGTAACATTCTCCCCGCGGATTTGCATTATGAAGTTCGCGATATAAAACGCGCGTTCCAATAAATTCGATCATTTTAAAGTTGCTCTCTCGTAGCACACCGCACGTTAACGCTTCCCTAAAACTTTTATTCGAAAATTTATGTTACGGCTAATATTTGAAAACGGCTAACAAACTTTTACATTTAGAAAAATTATCACTCTGTTGGTGATCGTTTATTAACTCGAGCCGATATTTCTTAGAAGCTTTTGTTGCTGATCCATTTATTTGGTATAAGTAGATCGAATTTTGTAGAACGAGTTTTGAAAATATTTATCGAGTTGTTGTACCTTGTCTGGCATTGTGAATTTAACCAATTCAGGATCGAGTAGCAATTTATAATAATATAGTCGAATTCTTGAGATTTCATGATATCATAGAAAGCAGTGTACATTAGATATTATTTATATATATTTCAAAATTTTTGTGTATCCATTCTACTTGATCAGTTTACTTTTCTTTTTTTACGTTGAATATTCAGCCTTTTAAATTGTTCTGGTTTCACTCACGCGTGTATATTTGTCTTATAATTGTCCAACTGTCTTCAAACGACTAAGGATTAGTCATAGATTGAAAAATATAACTGAAGATGTTAATCGCGAACTAGCACATTTCCTGCCACAGTGTGAACTAATACACTCATCTTCTATTTCACGTGTGTGAGAGAAGCTATTTAGTGTGAAAAAGCTCGATGGCGGTTACCGTGAGAATAAGGGCGTGTATGAATTGTCAAGGGCGACGATAGGTTCGGCCGTGGAAGACGTAACAAGTTGGCGGAGAACCCGAGCTCAAGTATTCACGAGCAAATTACCGTAACATGCAGTGCATTATCAGCGCGTGAACCGGCTACGCCCCGATGCTTAATGACGGAAATTTTATCGCGTAAGCCGTGTAAACTAACAGAGCGAACCCGTGTATTAACGTCCGCGGAGTTGTGTGCGCGCGACGGGGGTTGTCCCGGGTCGGCGCGGCGTGCTCCAACTTCTCGTTGAAGTCACGCGATCAGATAAGCTCTGGGGGATTAACCGTTAAACCGATGGTATAAACCGGGGCGTGAAGAGAACGCCGGACGAGGTGAAAAGAGCGCGAGGGAAACGTAACGGGTGG